ATTCGGTATCTGCAGTAGGTATAGGAAGTGAATGAGAAGCCGGTACAGTTGGTATTTGGGCGACGAGGAGTTTGGTGCCGGGATGAAACTGTCGCGGCTCTTCCTCACCTGGTCTAAAAAGGGCTCATATTGCGGGGTAGGAAGCAGTGGACTATTTGGCATTAGTATCTGGACCGGCGAACTGATTCTGTGGAAGGTAGCAGATGCGCAACAACTTGGCTGCACATGAAGTGCGGAGCTGTGTAGATTACCAAAAGTAGTGCTCGCAGCGTGTGAATTGGATGCGGTGGTGGTACGCAGTGCCGTCTCACTAGTCGCTGGGGTATGATTAGGTGGAGTCCGTCTCGGTGGACCGAAATACACTTGCCTTAGCCTGGCGTGGTTGCGGTGTTGTTCGCAATTCAATATAACAGTGCGCATGATTCTACTAGCATCTGTTCTCAGGTTGCTTGAGGCTGGGAATTTACTGATCCTCTTGGCCATTCTCTCAATTTTTGCCGAATTTTCTGCAATACTGTTTACTTTAACAATTGTGCTCTGAAGCTCGCCCGTCGATATGCCATCCGAAAGATTAACTGCAAGTACGCTGAACTCCACATTGTCCCAATTGGGCTGCAGCGACTGCTTCTCCACGGATCTTGATATATGTACGGTAGGTGTGAATGACATAACCACCGTAGCTGAGTGACTAGGCGTGTTCCCACGGCTTTTGGCGCTAGGCTCTGGCGACTCTGTTCTCTGAGTGTAGATTATACTAGGGTCGCTTTGATCGTCGGGGAGTTTTCCTAACGTGTCCGACCTAACTGAGCTGTTTAAAGGTTGCCTTAGAGTTTCGTCTACCATTGGCCTTTCCGGTTCAGCTGATCGAGTTGTATCTCTAGTTGAGCACTCAACATTATCTGATGGTTTTCCTATATCGTGCTCGGGTTGGCTGGTTTGATCTAGTTATGATGTGGATTTATGGATAGTACTGGTCCCACGATTTGCAGGTTCTTCCAAGGAATCAACCGATCTAGTATCCATATCAGCCAAGATAGCAAGCTCCACCATACGTGAGCCACTTACGTTCACAGGCGTTGGATAGTTGTCAAACTTTGCCTGAACCCACCTGCTCTGTGCAGCACTGTCGCTAAGATTGTCTTAACGGCGCTGCAACGCCGTTTTTGCTGGTAGTAACTTTAAGTCAAGGAACCTCGTGCGGGTTCTAAATTCCTTTTGATAAGAGAGAAACTTGGGACCCGAGCTCTTAGTATCGAACTTGACTAAGAGGCGACGTGGGTTTGCGTAACCCTATGTAAATAAATAAATAAATAAATATTATATACTCGGCTATGCGAGGCACGCCCCTGGAGGCGTGATCAGGAATGTGCAACTGAACAGACATTTTATGGCAACTGCAGCTGTGACAGTAGAAAATTGTTCATATGTCCATGCTTGGAACAGTTCAATGGTGGAAATGCGAAACAAGAATTTGGCTATCTTGAGATGGGGACCCGTTTGTTAGGACTTAATCCGTCTGCTATATATTGCAGTCTTACTTCGACTAATAATAGCTTGAGAATCCAGAATGATCCGTTAGAAGCTAATTGAAGCGCACGTTCGAAAGGGATATGACAATACAGTAAGTTCGTGCGAAAGTAACACAAAGTTCAACGGTTGTATCGTAGAAAGTAAAATGACGACAGTATATGCGTAAAGCGTAGAAAGGCGAGACTACCGTATGTGCAGAAGTAGAAGTTCAAGTATAACAAAACGACCTGGAATGGTGAAGCTAGTTGACCTGCCAGTGTGAAGTTATGGGCTGTGACTTTATTCGGCAGCGAGTCACATTCGCCACCTTGCAGTGTTTTTAACCGGACATTTGTGGCTTATTATAGGGAGAATGCCTGTCAGGCGAAAACCCACCACGTCCTAAAACACTGCCGACAATCCATTGAATGGCAAATTGTAACTGGTTATGTTTCTTGTTGAACGTTCGTTTGCTCGGCTATTCGCAGTCAATTTCTTCCCAGTTTCTTGTTGGTTGATGCCTTCGGCGAATGCTTATTGCATTCCTGGGTCCTGTCCTGTTTTGAACGAATAGCTGTGCACGATCGCTAGGCCAAGAATTAACCATTCTTTCTGAATATGACGTGTATATAATATGAAGTGCCACGTGAAGTCTCCAAGGGATGTATTTTGAAATAGGTTTAATTTTTGTTGAAGCATTGAAGAACAGGTTATGGTTCCAAAGAAAGAATCGCAGATCTTCAGGGGTATGTAAATAAATTGCTTAGAATTATAGGAAACCACGGCCAGTTGAGCGGTCAAAGCGGACTGATGAGCACAGAATGACCAATTGTTCTGGCTTTGAATCGGCAGGAGAAGGTGCCTTCCGAAGTCAAAAAGAGTTCTCCAGGCAAGAGGTATGTGGAAGAGATAGGGTTTGGCAAACTGAACCCCTTAGTTCAAGCCTCAAAAAATTATTGTACCTGCAGGATAACGACTGATTTGTCCAGTTTGTAAGTTGTAAAGGGGTTGATGATCTTTCACTCCTGTTCAGCCTACTGAACTGTGCACGCCTTGTGTTGTCGCAGCGATGACCAATTCTTTGAGTGCGTGGCTCCGTACCTGTAACAGAGACAGCAACACAGACAAAAGAAAGGCATGCATCTGGAATGCAGTCGATCAATTGCGGCCACGACTGAACTATTGTACCACATATATGTAATTGTCATTTAAATATGGCGTATACACGTGTAACATAGGTGACGTAATACGACGAGAAGCCAGCAGAACACAGCTCAGTAAAAAGTGAAAGATTGTTCAAAATAGGGCTGAAGGTGAAACAAATAGGTTTTGAGGGGTCCTAATGCGCAAATGCCCAATCGGTGGGAACCATAGAGAGGTGGATGTGGAGTGCAGATTATGGGAAAGAATAGTACGTAGAAGAAGCGACAGGGACGCGTTGCCTGTCTTAACTTGGTAGGAAGGTAAGGAGTCACGGATGACAAATGCATGTAAGTTAGCGTCCAAGGAAGAAAGAATGCAACAGAAAGCATAGAAATGAAGGAAAACAACCGGTAAAACCGGTTCTATTGAGGAGTTGTGGAAAAGCCACCGACATTCTTTAGGTGATAATTCATCCTTAGTAATAAAAAGAAGGATGATTAATACCCAGTGATGTAATTAAGGTAAGGGTGGCAAAGCGTTGCGCCGGAATAGGT